TACTTTAAACACTTTTTTTTTTATTTTTACCTTCACAATAGCATCAATATCATCTGCAGTACCATCAGGTAATGTGTTTCGCATGTTTATGCAGTTTTATGTGTGTTATGTGTATTGAAACTTAAACATTTTTTTTTCGTGTTTGTATGCAATTACATAACTGTTTAATATGTGTTTGTTTATATACTTTTTTATCTATTTCCGCAATAGCAACAGTATCAACTGCAGTACCACCAGGTAATGTATTTTCCATACTTATGCAGTTTTTCCATACTTATGCAGTGTTATGTGTATTGAAACCTAAACATTTCTTTTTTCATGTTTGTATGCAATTACATAACTGTTTAATAAATGTGTTAGTTCATATTTTTTATTTATTTCTATAATAGCAACAATATCTGCAGGACCATCAGGTAAATTGTTTTGCATGCTTATGCAGTTTTATAGGTGTCATGCGTATTTGCGCAGGTATATATGAAATTTAAACATTGCCTTTCCTTATTTTTACATTACTTTATATATATATTTTTTTTGTGATAACTTTTTTTTTTTAAAGTCAAAATAGTTTTAAATAATATTTTTTATGGTTGTTTTGAGCAGTATTGTATTCAAATTTATTTCTTTTTTTGTTTATGTTTTTTAGCATCGCATCAAGATTTGCTGCGATATCGCTCCTAGCACCCAGGTCCGATATCTCAAAGAACTTTCTACCGGTGGTGTCAATATGGGGGAGATGATCCCTCTTTGACAAGCCCCATATGACATCACTGGTAGAAGAAGGGGTATTGGGAAACGGTTGAACTCTTTTAATTTCTACCAGTAGCTTTTTTAAGCTACTGGTAGAATTATTTTCATCTTTAATTATAAAGAAAATTGACTTTTTAAAAAAATTTTTTTTTAATTATGCAATTTTTTATTATTTTAATTTTTATACTTTCACTATTTATTTTTTTTGATTTTTAATTCTGTTTTTAAATCCTAAACTTACAAAAAAACTCTTATGTTATAAAAATTATTTATACTTTGTCTATAAGTTTTTTTATGAGTTTACGTTTTTACATCTTTTTATCCTCATTTTTAATTTTAATAATATTAAATTTTCTTTTGTATTAACTTTTATTTGTTAAGTGTTATAAAGTTTTTGAAAGATTTGGTAAATATATTTAAAATTTTTCTTTTTCAATGATATCTGTTTAATATGTCTAATATATGCACTATACACCTATTAATCTCTTTACATTATTCTCTTTATATATATTATAAAATAATATTTAAAATCAGTTGTCAGCCACATGTGGTCTATATGATGCAACACGTTTGCATATGTTAGCATGTCATTTTTAATTTAGTATTATTAAAATTAATTTGTAACTAATTTTGCTCTTTAATATTACCATTAATATGACTTTTAAAACAATAATCTTTTTTATTTGTTTCCAAAATCACTATTTTATTACTTACAATATAGTATGTTATTACAAAATACTTCTGGCTTTTTCTCTGTTTCAAACCAGTTTAGTTATAATTTTTGTTCACAAATTTTATTAGACGCTATACACATAGTTTCATATGTTTAAACTGATAAATAGCACTTTATTGTTTTTCATTTTAGATTAGTATAGCAAAATATTAATCAGATATGCGTTTATATACCTTTATTTATATTTATGTGCTTAAATTTGTATAAGTTTATATTAAGTTGTTTCCATGTGAAAAGTGATGTTACTTGGCAACGTGTAGTGCAAGATTGTGATTCTTGCTAGCCAAGCGGTGTTACTAACTAGTGGTGTAACTTGGTACTTAATGCCAAGCGGTGTTACTAAATTGTGGTGTTACTTGGTAGCGTTTAGTGCCAAGCGGTTTTACAAGTGTTGAGCTAGGTTATGTTGTCTAGCTTTTTTAATAATTCTGGAAACACATAATCTGAATATTTTGTGTTATGTGCAAATGTGTTATGTACAAATATTTGATACTATGTGTATTCAGTAGCATAGGCAGGGTCTTTTGATGCTTCAGATAGCACTTTCAACCAAACTTAAGTGTATTCACGTTTATAGAATTAAAATACTTTGCAAAAAATTGATGTTGTTAAAGCTTAGGAACAAATGTTTCAAAAAAGCGTTTTTCCTAACCTGAATTTTTTTAGACATAACAAAGTAAAACTCTTCAACAGCTTCTAAATATATATCTGAAACAACAAAAATCCCGCCTACACACTGGTGTTATTGTTTGTCATCCTGTAATGTTGTTGTAATGTTTTGTGTTGATAGACAGCTTGGCTTACCTTCACGTTGGTGTCTATCGTTATAAATAATTATTGGATAGCTTCATTACCCAGTGGGCACCGACGTCATTCTCACGTCGGTGCGATGTTGGTTTTACGTTGGCGACATCGCCAACCTAAAACCAACATCGCACCAACGTGAGAATGACGTCGAAAATTAACATAGAGTTGTGACGTTGAATTAACATCAAAGCAACGTAATACTTGCGTTTCGAATATTTATCTGTAAATGACGTCACACCAAGTTGTTATTCTTTGACATTCGCTAAAGATTTTAAAATTTGTCTATTTTGCGTTTAAGCTTATGAAATTTTGATTAATATCCATTACTAAAAATGAGCTCTTATTTAAAACGTTGGAGAAATCAAAACAAAGAAATTAACAAGTCTTTGAAGCAGTAGTTTAATATTGAAGATACAGCTAGGAATTTTGATTCAGAAAACAATGTTATTGTTAATGATAATGTTGAAAATGACAACAACGAATTGCATTTTACAGGCGATGATAATAATGATAATATTATCTATCATTATGCATCAGATTTATCTGCATGTAATGAAGATGTGAATAGAAACGCGCCATTGCTTGGTAGAGTTCCATCAAGCAATGAAAAATGTCAATTAAGTTCGAATGATGAATGTGATGTGCTATCTAGAGATCTAGCTGGGCTACACGCAATAGATGCACAAGGAAGACCGTCAATGAACTTTTAAGTATTTTAAATAAAAATGGAGTATCTTCTCTCCCACGTGATTGTAAAACACTTCTGAAAACCCCTCGAAATATAAAAACAAAAGTACTGTGTGGTGGAGAATATATTTACTTTGGTATTAAAAAAGGAATCAAACAAGTTTTGAAGGAATCTCTAAAAATTATTGAGAGAATTGATATGCTAATAAATATTGATGAATTGCCTTTATGTAAGAGTAGCAGCATACAATTTTGGCCAATTTTAGCAAAGTTTTCTGAGTCACAACCATTTACTGTATGTCTATTTTGTGGTAAAAAGAACCCAGATAATTTATTTGACTATTTGCGTGATTTTTTAATTGAATTCAGATTGCTTCAAGTTAGTGGAATTGAATTTAATGGAAAAATTCTGCCTGTTTTTATTAAGGGATTTGTTTGTGATGCACCTGCCCGTTCATTTTTAAAGAATATTAAAGTTCATTGAGGGTATCATTCATGTGAACGATGTTTAATTGAAGGAGAATATGATGGAAAAGTTATTTTTACAGAAGTAAACTGTCAATTGCAAAGTGATGAACAATTTAAAGAATATAGTTGTTTAAATCATTTATTAGGAACAAATAATGTTTGCTGTGACCCTCATCAGTTAGGAAAGACTCCCTTGGTTGATTATGGAATTTTGTGTGTAAAAGAGTTTGCTATCGATTATATGCATTGTGTTTGTCTTGGTGTTATGAAGTGGCTATTAAAATTTTGGCTCGAAGGCCCACGTATATGTCGCTTATCATGTCAGCAAAACAAACTAATTTCTGATAAACTGGCTTTTTATCATGGCAAAATGCCCAGTAAATTTGCACGACAACCACGTTCACTTGATGAAGTTAAGCGCTTTAAAGCAACCGAGTTTTGACAATTTTTGCTCTACACTGGACCAATAATTTTAAAAGATATTTTGCCAAAAGATTTCTACCAGAACTTCCTGTGTTTAAGTATTGCAGTATCGTTAATGAGCAACTCAAATGTAGTGAAACGACAACATTACTTGGATTATGCAAAAAAATTAATGTCTTGTTTTGTATTAAGTCTTCAAAGGCTTTATGGGTCACAGTTTTAATCTTATAATGTTCATGCTTTGCTTCATTTGCATGAGGATGTTTTTTATCACAATTGCAGCCTTCATGATCTTTCAAGTCTTCCTTTTGAGAATTTTCTTCAAATTGTTAAAAAGTTTGTAAAAACTGCAAATAAACCTCTTGTTCAATTAGCAAAACGTTTAAGTGAGTTAGAAAGTAGTAATGTTTCTTATGGCTCTAAGACTATCACTGACAAAATTATTCCAAATGATCGTGATGGCTGGTTTATTTTGAAATCAAATGAAATTGTTCGTATCATAGAAATAGTTTCAGATACTGAGTTTGATTGCAAAGTTATTCCTTTCCATGCTATTGATAATTTTTTTACCATCCCATGTAACTCGTCAGATTTTGGAATATACAAAATCTCTAAGTTCAATAAAATGAAAAGAAAATTTGTAATTTTATCTGATATTTGCTACAAACTAGTTTGTTTAGAAAAAGATAATGATTTTATACTAATTGAAGTAAATCATGAAATAATATATTAATATTTTTAAATTTTGATGCTTATTTCAATTTATTATATATTAATAAGTTGTTTTTTTTTTGTAGTTTTTATCAACTTGTTAAGTTTCTAGGATTTAAATGTTTAAATATGGAATGTTAATATATTTAAAGTCACTTAAATTTGTTTGGATATTTTTTTCTTTTAATTTTTTGATGTTTTTTTCAACTGGTGTGTTTCAGAAGTGCTATTGGATTAAATGCATGTTTACGAAAATTTTCTATAAACATGCATTTTAATACAATTTTTTCTGTATTTTTTCTGTGAATTTTCTGAATTTTTTTGTCTGAAAATAAATTCCAAAAATTATTTCCAATTATCTCTAACGTCACATTAGATTTTATATTACATTTATTTTACATCACATTTTAAAAGTGTACTTCTTTCTTGTCTGGTAAATGTTTAGAATAATGCCATAATTAAATGTCTAGTTTTTAACTATTACATTTTAATTACAACATTTCTTTTAGTTGCAACGTTATTCTAGCATGGCAATAATTGTCTATTTGACTTCCTTGTGTTTCACTATAAAAAAGTCATTTTTCAAATATAAGCCATAATATAGTAAAAGGTAATATTTTTTGCTTTTTATTTTGTTTGTCTTTTTTAAAATCATTTTTATTATTATTTTTTATAGATTACTATTTTTCTTATATATGCATTTTATTTTGCTTAAATATTTTTCAAGTTTTCTACGAAATTTTTCAAAGTTATTTTTTTAAATTATGGCATAATAATATATAGTTAGTAATAATGATTTTTTTTTTTAACTTTTAACACTAATGAGATCCTTGTTATAGTTGATAACATCACAAAAAAATGAATAAAACATTAAAAGAGCCATATTGTTGGGCTATTTGGAATGAAAATGAAGATGAAGGTACCTCCGGTGTTATTCCATCCAATTGGTTAGTTCCTGGAAGCCATATATTTTGGCCACCTAATAATTATTTTCAAGTCAAACATGCATTTCATGAAAGAAGAGATCCTGATCATTCATGAAAAAAATTTACACTAAATAAGGTTAAGGTCATTGGTGAGTGTTGTAAAATATCATCATGACAACTTGTATATTAACTTACTAATACACAAACAAGTTAAGTTGTCATATATAAATTTCCTATATATTTCAACTTTATATGTTTACTTATATACAACTTGTCTACCTAAATCTGTTTGTCTAATATCTAAAAATTTATTTGTTTGCTAATGTATATATATATATATATATATATATATATATATATATATATATATATATATATATATATATATATATATATATATATATATATATATATATATATATATATATATATATATATACAATTAAATACGTTTTTAATTATTTATTTGTGTTTCTGTATATTATACTGATTTGTTACATTTCAAATAATTTTAAATCCTCATTTTATTGAAATTTTTTAATTATAATTCAGGAACATATGAGTTCTGTAATGAAATGTGCAGTACAGATGTTGGGTGGTTTTCTACAGATGGTGAAAGTGTCTCACCAATGAAAAAAAAATTAAATAAGAAAACAAGTTAGTCATTTTTAATAATGTTTATTGAAACATTGCAAAAAAAAAAAGAAAGTTATTAGTTCTTTAAATTTAATTTAGTTTTATCTTATAAATATTATTTAAAAAGAAAAAATGATTTTTGGTCCAATGTGCTTATAAATTTTGTATTGCTAGCACACAAGATAACTTTTTTTAACAAGATTTGTAATATTTTGTTATTTTGCTATAGGAAAATATTTCTAGCACATTGGGTAATAACAAATTAATTTTAACAGTAATCTATAGTGTAAATTATATTCTATATATACTATTTTGTTAGTATTCACTATAATTTGTAGATGACAGTCAAAATACTCTATCATTTTCTTCTCCACCATCTAGAATTCAAGGTAATGTAAATTTTTTATCTGTTTAATTTATATAAATTAGATAATCATTTATAATCATTGGAGAGAAGGTATAGTTATTTGTTTATATTTAATCCAGACACACTTGCTTGGGTTAGCTAGTTTTAATTTTTCTATTTAAAAATAACTTTAAAAAATTTAAATGAATTTGTACAAGTGGAATCCAACGTCAACCTGTTTTATTGAACCGGTGTTTTTTATCACGACAACATTACTAGAAAGATTACTGTTTACATTACATTACAGTTTATTCTATTCTCATCCACATTTAAGTGAGTATATATATATATATATATATATATATATATATATATATATATATATATATATATATATATATATCATCATTACATATTTTTGCATTCAGAGAAACAAATATCAAGTGTGAAAAAGAATGAAATATCACTAAGTGTGATTGAAAAAAAAGTATAGCTATAAGTTGTATTTCTACTTAGTTTTATTTTTATTAAGTAGGATGATGATGATGATGATGATGATGATGATGATGATGATGATGATGATGATGATGATGATGATGATGATGATGGTGATGATGATTAATATATAACTTTTTTCCTAGTTGGCAAAATCAAAAAGAGCCTTTTTTTCTAGCAATGAAACTGAAAAACAAGTAACGATAATTTTAAACTTAATTATTTTGTATAATTATATTTAGTGTGGTTACGACCTAAAAATTCTACTGTCAGCTAAATCGACTAATATATTTTAAAAAGTCTACTGAAATTAGTTAACACAATTTTTAAATTGATATAAGTTGATTTAGTCTAAATATTTCAAAAAAAAAAAAATTCTTTAATTTAAATTATTGCAAAATAAATTGTAATAAAAATAATCAAGTCGTTTTTAACTGTTAATTATATATATTTAAACAATTTATTAGTTGTATATATATATATTTTTTCATGTTTACAATCATTAATTCTAAAAGGTATGTAAATTCAATTTAACAAAATGAACAACGTATGTGAATGAAGATCTTGAAGAACTTGTTAAAATTTTCAATAGTTTAAATAAATGTATTTTTTATTGATTTTTTGAATAACAACTTTTATAAAAAATATTGTATTTTAATGGGTACCCAGGTACCCGCCTTTTCACAATTTTAAAAAGCAAAGAGTTTTATTATTAAAGAACAGTTATATATTAAGTTAAATCAAATATAAATATGTATTTATATAGTTGATGAAGTTAAATCAAATAAAAAAATCGAAATAAGAATGTTAGGATAATTACCCGACTAAATCGATTTTTAGTCAAATAGTAATAAATCTGGAGTTGATTTACTCGACTAATTTTGACTTTTGACTGATTGACTTATAGTTGATTTATTCGAAGGCAATAACAACACTAGTAGTGCTGTTAAGTAGTTTTTTTTATTTTATTCTTTAAAATTTCTAATGTTATGAACATAATCAATATAATGTTATGCTATGAATTTCTTTTATTTTTCTTATTAATTACTTTTATTTTTAATGCTTTTGACTAGAAAAAATGCAAACTGAAGAAAAGCAATATATGGTCAGATAATGAAGAGGTAAAAATCAGTCATCTGAATTTAAACAATGCACAATACTAAATAAATATTATTTCTTTTACAAAAAGAACTTTTTGTTTAAAATACTATTATTGTTTTATTTTATTAATAGATTTTTTTTCAGGTTCATTTTGAGGAGACCTCTGGAAGTTCACAAGTCCAAACCTATTCTGAGGTACTGTGCATATGCACTAAATTATGCATATAAAAAAAAACATCTTTAACAGTTGGAGTACTAAAGAAGTATCCCCAGTATGTGATTTGACTGAGTTACACAATTTAGTAAAGAAAATAGAAGATGAAGAAGAATTTAATAAACTAGTTAATAAATTACTTTTTGAATTTATGATATTGATAATTGTCATAATGATCCGGAGAAAATCAATACTTAACAAAATGTCTGTATTTTAATAGTGCCTTCGGGACTTTACCGTAATTAACGTACTTACTAACATGAAAATTGATTTTAATTTTAAATGTTATAAAATAAAATGTTTATGTTGTGATTAAGTTTTGTTTCAATTTTTTAATTTTATCAGGTTTTATCACTCTCTGCTGCTGGTGGTAAAGATGTTAAAGATGTTGTGAAGAATATTATGGAAAGGTTTGTTGTTACAGTGCTATGGACTCACAACCTCTTTATGTTACTGATATTAAAATATTAATAGAAATATGTTGTTTTAGTGGGGCTACGTATGATGTGTTGGCCAAGTTTAATTTTCGGGCAACTAATCGCCTCGAAAAAAATAAAGAGCCAAGACCAAGTAAAGAAGCTTTTAAAAGTCTTAATATATGCAAAGTTGTGTGCTGTACGTTTTATAAATTATTTTAGTTTTGAAAAGCTTTTTTATATTGTAAACTAAGTTCTTATTTGTTTTAACCCCTTTTAGTATGCTATAAGAACTTTCATTAATTCATATTTAATTTTTCTTTTGTTGTTTTCTATAAATAAGTAGTAAAATATTAAAGTTTTTAATAGTTATATAAACAACAAAATTTAAAAATTTAACTTGTTAAAGTTATTGTCTAAAACGTTTATCTTTAATGTCATTCCTTATTTTCTCCCAACATTTTCAAATGGAGTTAAAACAAACAAGCTCTCTGGTCGCGATATGTTAACATTATTATTTTGGTATGCAGTTTGATTATTGTTTAAGTCAGCGTTTACAATTGGTATAAATTTAAAATAAAATAACTGTTTCAAGCATTTTTTTTTTTACTTCAGGTGCTGCAATGAAAGGTAGAAAGTTTTTTTAAAGAAGACGTGATAAAGTGTGTAAAAGAAATTTTACGTTATGCTCCAGACATGGCCACAGGTGGAAGGCGGTTTTCTGTATAAAACTTTAAAATTATAAAAGCATAAATATATATATATAAAGCATATATATATATATAAAGCATAAATTACTTGTTAACTTAAAAGTTATATTTTATATTATAATACCAAAACTATATTCTAACTTTTTATTTTATTTGAATTTAGACTCCAGCTGGAGTATAAACTAAAAAGTTAAAAATCGTTACTAAAACGTTAGAAATCGTTACTATAACGTTAATATGCATAAAACATAAGTTTGGAGTTTGAAAAGAAAGTTAAAATTTAGTAGAATTTTACTTTTAACTTCCAAAACTCGAAACTTAATATAAAACATCATTGATTATAAATGGTTTGCTAACAAAGTTTTTTTACGTCGCGCTAATATCGTGTTTTAACATCAATCCAACTTTCCATTTCCAACATCGATGCGACGTCGCATACAACATCGCAGCTACATCGAATGTTTACATTGCTATTACATCGCAATTCAACGTCAAAATTACATCGGTTAACAACATCGCCTAAACATCAAAATTTCACGTCGTTATAACATCGCCTATTAACGTCGATCCAACTTTCCATTTCCAACGTTAATGCGACGTCGCGTTCGACGTCGCTTAAACGTTAATCCAACGTCGCTGTGCCCACTGGGTAGTGAAACTTTGGCTACCACTGGGTAGTGTCTAATTTTTTTGTGTCAATAAGAATTTTTATCTTTAGCAATGCTGATAAAACTGAATTTTTTTAAAAAAAGAGTATTTCCAGCCTTCCAACTAAATATTAGAGACTTTTACAAAAGCACTCTCTCAAAGTAAATGTCTAAGATTTATTTAATATTACTAAATTTCGTTTCCTATTTTTCATTTTTCAAATGAATTAACATAAAACAAATAAATGTGCATTCAGTGTTACCAATAATGATTTGATTTCATTTTTAGATAATTCTTTTATAATCAATTTAAAAGTCTTTCAAATCGTTAATCATTTTCTAAAGGCGAAGAAGAAGAATCATCAATCTTCGTACCATTTAATAAAGCTATTTTTATAAAACGCAATACAAATTGTTGTAAATTAGTATTTGAATAATTTGCGTGTGAATAATTTTCACGTTGTTACCTTATTTTGCAGTTTCCTATCACTTTGTATTGAATTAACTAAATCGAATATTACAGTTCCTTATATCAAGTACTTCACATTTTCTGTTTTTGTTTTATGCAGAAAAACAGATCAAGTTAAGTTATTTGACTTGCCTAGCTACTTATTTTACACGCCTAGCCATAGTGAGTGTGCATAAATCAACAGAGGATTTGGGTTTGGGCAGGTTGTCTTGAACTAAATGATTTACCTTCTTCATGTTAAGCTCTTAATATAAATTTACGGAAAAGGCGCATATGTGAATTTTTTTTTTCGAGCACATAATCTATTATATTGTTCACTAAAAGATATTAGAGGGAGAAATAGAGGTAAGGTTAATGTGGAATAGAGTTAGTCCTTTTAAGTGAAAAACTATTTTATAATCTATCTATCTTCTATATAATAATAGTCGTGTTCTTCTATATAAACTTAATAGTAGTGTTAGTAGAAAGAGTCGCAGCACTTTTTTTAGAAGAATACGTGTATGCAAATATCTAACGTACGTAATTAAGTAATGATAAAACATACTGAAACATTTATCAAGTTTTATAGTTTGACTTTGACTTAAAAATTGCATTGCGTCAACCTCTCCTTAATTTTTGATCTACAGCAATTCCTTTAAAAACAATTTTTATATATTTTTAAAATTTCTATATTTTAAAAATATATAAAAAATATATGTGTCAGATTAAAAAACTTAAAAAAAATGTATTGAGATTTTTTAGGCGCGGATTTAAAGCCTTGCACACTCTTATGACTGCACACTTAACTTGTGAGCTATCAAAGTTATGCATGTAGTTTGGCGCTTCAACATTTTTTTAAAAATGTAAAATGAAAACAAAATAAATAGGGGAGAGCGGGGTTGGTTGTCACACTTTTTACATTTTAGGCTGCTCAGCTTTTAATTTTCATCCAATCAATGCCAAACTTTGCACAAAGCTAGTTTAACTATTTCCAGTAACTATTATAATATTTTTATGACATTGAGTGAAATATTTATTGCTGTAAAATCATTTTTTCAAAGACCACTTCTGTGTGACAACTAGCCCCGCTCACGGGGCAGGTTGTCACATGGTGCGGGGTTGATTGTCACATTTGGATTTTGACAAGTTTAGATAAGAATTTAATATAAAACGAGTACAAATTAATTTCGTTTATGTTTTACTAAGAAAAAGAAAAAGAAAATACTATAAACTGAAATATATATATTTTAAATATAACACAATTAACAAATTTAGTTTATCACTATAAATGTTTTTAGGTTTAGTTTTTTAAAAATTATTGGATAAAGAACACAATTCATAAATAAACTGTTGTAAGCCTGGTGTGCATTCTTCATGAGACCGTTTTTGGCAAACCTGACATTGAATCCACTGTTCTCTTGATCGGCTGTTGGAAAATGATTCAAAACAATAGATGCACTAAATATAAACAATGCACAAACAAAACAACAGACAGTTTTACAAACTAAACAACAGCTAGTTGTTTAGTTTGTAAACAAAACAATAAACAGTTGAACTTCTGCAATCCTTTTTCTATAATTATACTCAACATTGGATCGGAATCTAAAGTTATGCACGTTGAAATAAAAATAATTTAGATTACAGATATTTAGTTAAACAAATATAACACTTTGACTTTAGATTTTTAAATAATATCTTAAACATTAAAATATTCCTCAATAATGCGGGAAATAAACAAAGCCAATAAAAAATCTGCAAGCGGCGTTTAATTTGCAGCGCATGGAGTCGAGGCAAGTGTGACAACCATCCCCATATATTTTGTGACAAGCAACCCCTTCTGAGTAAGTTGCTGGACACCTGTACATTTACCTAAAAGCGTGAGAATTTCATGATAATTTTTTACGGATTAAGTTACTCAAATGAATAAAGTACTTTATAAATCTACATTCAAAACACAATAAAATAATGTTCGTTTGGTAAACGAAAATTTCTGAGTAGGCGAAATTTTACTTTTTCATATCAAAAACCTTTAAAAACGAATAACTTTTCTTCTGCACGCTAAAAAAAGATAAAAACTACTGTAAAAATGTTTTTTTTATATAACATTTCCATTGCATAATTTGAAATTTCTATATCTTATTTACATTTCCTGTAATAAACTTTGTGACAACCAACCCGCGTGACAACCAACCCCGCTCTCCCCTACCATAAGTAAGAGCTAAATAATAACGTTTAGCTCTCAAAGCAAATTTTTTTAATGATTTTTTTTCTACCGTTTACTAAAAAATATTGAAGTAAATAAGGAACAAGTAAAGAAATGATTGGCGTGGAATAGATAAATGTAGAAGTAGAAGAAAAGACCTGTATTTACCGATACGGACAGCTAGATTAAGAAAATAAGGGAAAAGGTTTGTGTGGAATAGACTTACAAAGACCCGTATTTTTACAGGTCAATTCAGCTAGTATATAATTTTTTCCCATTTAATGAAAATATTTATATAACATAGTAAGGACGATCGACTTTTTATATATTTTTTATTTAAAGATGAAAGAGTCTATAAAAAAAAAACCCTCTTATTTTATAGTTAGTGCATTTTTATACTTTTTAGCTGAAATAATTTTTTTATAATTAAAAAAAAAATTGTAGCGTCAAACTCGCTTTTATATATTGAGCAAACCATTTGCATTTGCCAATGGTTTGGCATCACTTAAAATATAAAATTTTCTGTTTTTTAAAATTTTTACACTTTTTACTCGTGATACACTTCAAACCTTTAAAGGTTTGAAATATATCTTTTCAACCATTTAGTATATAAGTTTATTTAACGTAGGAGTCTTTGTAGACTTGTCAAAAGCGTTCGACACAATAAATCACGAAATCCTACTAAAAAAGTTGGAAAAATACGAATTAAAAAACCATACACTTTAGTGGTTTAAAAGTTACCTGTATAACAGACAACAGTGTGTTATTACAGATGATAATTACCACAGTAAATTATTAAAATTAACTTGTGGTGTTCCTCAAGGTTCGATTCTTGCTCCTCTTTTGTTCCTTCTCTATATAAACGACCTTCCAAAAGTTTCTAGCAAACTTGAATTTATAATGTTTGCAGACAATACAAATTTATTTTACTCTTCGACAAACATCAAGGATCTGTATGATAATGTAAACATAGAACTCCAAAAATTAAATATATGGTTTAAAACAAATAAGTTATCCCTAAACATAGAAAAAACAAAATACACTTTATTTCACTCAAACCAACAAAGAAACACACTACCAAATATTCTACCCTCTCTAAAAATAGAAAATATAGTAATTGAGAGAACTCACGAAACTAAATTTTTAGGAGTTATAATTAATAAAAATTTATCTTGGAAAAGTCACATAAATGCTTTAAACACTAAAATATCAAAAAACATAGGTCTACATTATAAAGCAAAACCTATGCTATCGCAAAGTAATTTAAAACTTATATATTTCTCTTTTATACATAGCTACCTCATAT